GAAATTTAAAAACAGTCTTTCAGAAAATCTGAGGTTATAAAGGGGTCTCTGGTAAATAGAACTATGAAAAATTCAATGGTTCCGCCAGGTCGTAATATGAACTTAAATTCTTTTAAGATTTTGATTAGAATACTATGTAGTATGTATAGGCAAAAAAAATCATTGATATCAGAAGGAAGTATGTAAGGAGTTCCCTTGTTAGTTAATGTTTCATATTCGTTCAACTCCTTATTAATCTTTTTTGTTGGAAACAATAATTTTTCATCACCAAATTAATAAAAATTAATTCGATCTTAGGATTCATACAACACCATCTGTTTTTGAAAAGTATGTTACAGATCTAACACGTTATTAGTATAATATTAATAATATTTTTTCTGATTATTTTTTCAATCTTCAAATAACATTCATCGAATAACAATAAGAAGAAAATAACTACTGTTCTACAGCTTTATAACGAATAAAAAAAAGAAAGGAATATTAGATGTTTTCTTTGGAAAATCACTCGTCTTTACATGTGTTTCACAACAGAGCAAGAATAAGACAAAAGAAACATTTGTGAGAGAAAAAAATTGCACCAAACTTTCAATAATAACAATAAACGCAAAGAATTAACTCGATGGAATGTATATTTTTTTTTGTTCTTTATTTGTACAGAAAAACATCTAGAACTTCGATAAGAATGCAGGATGATCACTTCGGCCGTCGATAACGGCGTATTACTGCAGTAATTTTCACCGTATTTTGCCGTTTTATATCATTTACGACTGTTTACGGCGTCGTTCTCTTCGACTCGGAAAAGATACATAGACATTGCACAATCATTAAAAAGAAATAGAGATGAAAAGGAGAAAAAAAAAGAACACTGTGAAAATACAATTAGATTTTATATAGATGACTACAAATGTGTGTTCAATTGAGGTAATGATTTCGCTGCTTCAAGTGATATATATATAGATTCATATTGTTTATTATTGAGATTTTCAATAAATAAATCAGCATAATCTGGCTTCTGAGTATCTAGTTGACCACATGGATAACGAAGAACATCTGTAGAATTCGAGCGGATTGGAATATTCTAAATTTATAGAACCAATGGTTTTTTTTTTATTTCTGCTAAAATATTACTAAGCATACACTATATTTTTCAATAAGTTGATTTAATTGTGAAAATAATTCATTTTTAGCACCACCTAAAAATCTATAAGCATGTTGTTGTTGTATTCGACTATTATTACGTTTAGGTGATGAAATAACTTCAATAAGTAAATGACGACAATGATCTGATGCACGATATGATAATGCATAACCAAAAATTTTTTCATTTATACGTATTAAATAAGTACCAATTGGTTTTGAACATAGAAGTTGTTCCGTATAAGATCGACTAATAATTCCTAAGAGAATGAATATTAAAACAATTCAAAAGAATGTTGAATAAAATGGTATCTACCATGAAACCATGGATATATTTGACCATTTGGAGAACGAAATGTAGCATAAGGAATTTCACTTAGACAAAACCATTGACGAATATCTTCACGTGTTAAAGGTAATAAAGGTTTACTAAAATAAACAATAACAAAAGAATATTATC